TCGCATCCAAAATAAAAGTTTGTGTTTACATAATATATGTGTGTGTATGTGTATATTTATATGTATATATAAATAAACACACATAAATGTATACATATTTCAGAAATATATGTAAAATGTATTTATATATAACATAAATCATATATAAATATGAATATATGTAAATATTTCTTAAATATATACACATGTATGTGTGTGTGTATATACATATAATATATACACACACACAATGTATTATGTAAACACAAACTTTTATTTTGAATGCGATTAATCACGATTAATCGATTTTACAGCCCTGAATAAAGATATTCTTTATTTCAAAAAATAAATCTTGCTGACCCCAAACTTTCAAACGATAGTGTAGGCTTATGTTTCATACAGAATTGTATTAATTAATAACAAACTTGGTTAGCATGCGAGCTTATTTCAGCAACGGAATTAAAATATATTTGCGACTCAGAATTGCGAGAAAAAAAGTCTGAATTTTGTGAGGTAAACTAAGAATTGTGAGGAAAAGCTAAGAGTTGCAATTACCGTTTTTACCGTGTTGAATAAATAAGTTTCCATAGTTAAGAGCGCAGGTTCAATAAACACTCGCGAACCAAAACATCGCGTTCAGGTAACCACAGCAACGGTAAAGCGTGAATCGACAAAACCTTACACTTTTTATATCGCAAGTATACACAAAAAAGTTCTGTTAAAAAGTTTTTAAACAGCTAAAATACTATTCAAATTATTTACATAAATTACCTTAAAAATGTCGAGTCACCTGACAGTTACACTGATGGTTGCACCACCACAGGTCACGCACTTGGATAACGTTACTCTCTAAATATTTTTTTTCCCCTATAGATGACTCACCCAGGTAGTTCTGCCAGCAGTTTCTCGTCTGGTTCTGGTTCGGGAAGCGGGCATCGAACGGCGCCGTGCGGTACTGCTCCAGTTTCTGCTGAATGTCTTCGGCCATGACTCGCGCGTGTCCCTTTAATTCAATTCAGATAACCTTAAATGCATGCATCTATCATAATTCAGCAATAGATTAATGCAGCACGCTGCGCAATGCCAAGAGATGCCCATGTATGTCCATACGCATTAGAATGCTTAATTTCATCATGAAAAAATAAATAAAGAATAAGAATAGTAATAAAACATGGGTCACGAGACTAATGTATTTATATGAGCTCTATATGATTAGACGCTTAGACTGTGTGTATATGACTAATATAACGCTGCACATAAATATATTTCAGTAGGATTACAATAGCGCATCTATCAAGGTGTTATGTTTCATATATTATTCCATTTATTAGTTTTGTATTTCAAAAAGATCCGATGTGGTCGATGCCTTCGTCGTCACATTGTTAAACACTTTCGCTTTTACAATCAGAGTCCTTTTCCTACATTTCAATAGAAAGTGTTAAATTACCACATGCAATGACAGCGTTATTGTGCCGTGGTGTGCTTTACCTGTCTGAGGCGGCTGGCTGTTCGGAGTGACTTGTTCAGTGACAGACAATCCTCATTCACTAGCTGTGTGTGTGTGATGATAAGTGCACTTGAGCGCCGGCGTGCAGTCCTTTACACACGGTATGGCGGACTCGGGTCACATTGAAACCACTGAGATGCGCTCATAGGATGCGATGCGATGCGCTTCACGAGGCTAACTCCAGGAAGGAGCCCTATGCATGTGCATATGTAAAGAAACACAGCAGATAAATTGCTTAATCATGTATTTATTGTATGTGAATTCATGTGACCTTCAGAAGAGCACGTCAGGTCACATCCGTGCATTACAGCAGGTTAATGTTTAACCATCAACTGGAGAGAATCTGCATGGCTATTGTAAAGATCAATGCCTTCCCGTTTTATTTTGGCATCTTGTTTGTCTAAACGTATATGGATTGAAATATTATTTTTTTCTATACACTCGTTCTCAGAACAAAGTAACGTTCTAAAATTCGTTCAGATTGATCTCAAAACGAAAACGTTATTTAAACATCGTTTATGGAGCCAATTCTACTTGTTATTGCTCGTTTCAGAAATTATATTAAACAAGATGCCAAATTTTGCTACAAGTGTGATCGCAACATTCACCGTTTGTTTAAATTCATGTTATTAACTGCATGATTTTTACTGTGCATTTCTGGACATCACCTTGACTGATAAGCTACCCCTAAATATAAAGTAGAAACTTTAATTTTCAGTGAAGCTGCTTTGCAACGATTTGTATCGTGAACGTGAAAAAAAGATGCATGTCCTTAGAGTGCATAAATAGCTACAAGTATCACATACAGAGCCGATCCTCCCTATACGCAAAATACGCAAGCTGCGTAGGGCCCCCGAAACACCAGGGGGGGCCCTTGCCCTCAAAGATTATTTAATTTTAGTTTCGTTTTTGAATTTGGCCAGCGTTGAAAGCGTACTGAGCCGTGGTTTCCGTTCTCACATTCACCATGAGATGCGTTTAACATAAATCAATAATTCACTTTCGGTAGTTTTTGCATTTTCTTCGTACAGTAATACGTATTGTCTTGCATTTGCTGTCTCTGTGGTCCAGTAAACCTGCATGAACCCACTGTATGTGTACAGTGTGCGTGCAAGTGGCACGTTTAAATGGAATAACAAAATTACTATGCTGAAAACGTGGCTTATGAATATTAAGTTGGTATGGCCTAATAAATATTCATGAGACAAGTGTGACGTCTTGAATAAGCATGAAATAAGAAGATCAAAAGAAATGATCAACTGCATTAAGGATTAAAAAAAAAAATAGCACTGAATGCATTCTACAGTTTTTATTACACAGCATAGCAATGCAATCATTTAGAGTATTCTCAAATAAAGACAGAAAATGGCAATAAGCTAAATTTCGACCTGATCTACAGGTTTACAAAACCAGTTAATAATAATAAACCTCTAATTATAAATACAATGCATCAAAGTTAGCTGATTTATTTTAAACATGTTCATCTACTACACCTGTAATTTAATCCAGTGTTTCATTTGGCTTCTTTAGATTCAAAGTCATGTTGTTTTGGTGCAGGTGATCGTCCTGATCTTCTGTGGATGTAGATAATACACAGAAAACTGAAGATGACATAAAGCTACAGTAAACTAAAGGTATAGTTCTGCTTGTTGGTTCGAACATCCACAGCCCCGCTTTAAATGAAACCTACATTTTGTAGATCTGATTCAAAACCGTAGTGTATTACTCATAACAGCATCTGTAGTGATTTTAGGTCCCTCTTTAAGGCACTACATGTACAGCACTAAGTGATAACAGTCCTCCCTGCTATCAAAACATCACAGTGAGTTAACAAGAATGACAAAGGTGCATCTTTAACAGCAGCAGCAGCAGCATGAAACAGCAGAACACTTACAAACACTTTGTTCTGACTCACCCGAACTCTTCAAACCATTAATAACCGAGACACAAAGTCTCCATCCTAACACACAAAGCCCTGTGATGCAGGAGCGACACTGCACTGCAAATATACAATATTCATTAGTTTTCTCTTGACACACACAACTAGCCTTGTTTTTAGTGTTGCTGTAAAATGCAGCTAAATGCTTAGTGTGTATGAAACACAATGCGCATTGTGTAAACTCCTCCGTTATAGCGTTACTCAAGACATCATGCCACTACAGACTCAGAATACAATGAAAACAGCACAATGATCCAAACATGAATCTCATGAAACTCATGTCCAGGTCATATTTCATACCAAAATCCAAAGGAAAACAAAGAATAAATTATATATTGCAAAAGAAAATTAAAGCCATTTTTAGGATGATTCAGTTTTTAGATTGTGGCATTACTTTTATGACATTTAAAGGAATAGTTCACCTAGAAATTGAAATGAGCTGAAAATGTACTCCTCTTTAGTCCGTCAAAGATGTAGATTCAACAAATTTGGAGAAATGTAGCATTGCATCTCTTGCTCACTCATCTGCAGTGAATGGGTGCCGTCAGAATGAGAGTCCAAACAGCTGATAAAAACATCACAATAATCCACACCACTCCAGTCCATCAGTTAAGAAACAAATAGTAAGAAACAAATCCATCAAGACGTTTTTAATCTTCAAAACCATTGCTTCCAGCTAAAATATGAGTGTGTAATCCATAAGTGGTCTGGTCTGAATCAGGAGAGAAATCTGCACAGATCAAGCAGCGTTTAAACAGTCCAAAACAGCTCTAAACAAATATGTTGAAAAATTCTGATGTGAGAGACAACAGAAGATGGACATTTTTACTGGAGGAAGCATTATTATGAATTATGGACTCATGTTTTAGCCTGAAGTGATGGTTTAAAGTTAAAATGCCTTGATGGATTTGTTTCTTACAAACACACACACAGCTTTCACTTCTCAAGACATTAACTGATGGACTGGAGTGGTGTGGATTACTTGTGGATTATTGTGATGTTTTTATCAGCTGTTTGGACTCTCATTCTGACGGCACCCATTCACTGCAGAGCATCCATTGCTGAGACACTGATGCAATGCTACATTTCTCCAAATCTGATGAAGAAACAAACTCATCCTAATCTTGAATAGCCTGAGGGTGAGTACATTTTCAGCAAATTTTCATTTTTGGGTGAACTACTCATTTAGACTAATTTCCAACCAAATTTGTCATGACCCAGACTGTTCTTTATGAGATTCACCTTTATATGAAATCCCTGATCATTATAAATATATATGTAGCCCCTGACAGTCTCTGGCCTTATGCAGAAATCTGAAATGCTTTACAGTAGTTTATGATTGTCATAAAATAATGCAGCAAGTTTGTAACTTCTAAATGAATACATTCAGTTTGATAGGATTTGGTTTAGTTTCCAATAAAAGCATCTCAGGTTTTATGACATCGATCTCAAGCAGCTTTAACTAGATAACAGATATTCTAAACAAAACAGTCGTGACATGAGCTCTGTTTTGGATTTCAAGTTCTACATGCAGTCACGGTTTAAATTTTTTTTTTGGCCTATATGACCTTTGGGTTGAAAATTAGTGTTTAAATATAAACTGTGTTAATTGTGTTTCAGAAAAGTGCATCACTGAAGCGCAGCCTGTAGAACTCCTGCTTCACATCCTCTTCAGTGATCGATTCATCAGCTGTTACTCTCAGAGCGCCGCTCTCCGACACATCATCCTTGATCTTGCGCTTGGTCAGAATCACTGGCTCCGTCTCGCCTGGTTCTGCGTGCTGTCGTCCATCTGGTCCCGTCAGAACGAGGTAACAGGCGTGGCGGCCTCGCTCCAACAGCGTCGCTACACAAATGCAGAAAGATGTTTATTTTTTTTAACAAACCTGACTTACAATATGTTGCGATTTAAAGGTGCTCGCAGTCGATTCGCAGACTTTTAACCCTACATATGCCTTAAAGGTACAGTAGCAAAAACTTTTAATGCAACAAAACGTTTGTGAAAAGGAGATACCCTTAAAAGAGATGATGTTCTGTGCAGGATTTCTTCTTTCAAGCAGCAGTTGGGAAAGTCGAGGATGCATCAGGAATGATGAATGCATCTCATTCTGAGTATCGACAAAAACACACACACACACATATCAGTGGCTTATTTCTGCAGGTGTGTGTTTGTGTGAATATGTTTTTGCTCTTACGGTCTGGTTGCCGTGACTCTGTCCCCAGAGCATGAACACTGAGTAGGTGTTTAATGTGAGGACAGACGCCGGATGAGGACTCGGAGTCCAGAACAACAGATTCACCTCCCACAGGACCACTCCAGAGCTTCCACTGAGAACCAATACCTAAAACACACCATATATATACACATTTAATCTAATCTATATAATTAGACAGATAATATATACATGCACCAAATGTCTGGGGTCAGTTTTTCTTTTGATCATATATTATTGCATAATTGCATTTTTTTTTTTTTTTTTTTTAATGATTTTTTAATGTTTTTAAAAAAGTTTTACATTTTTTTGCAATTAAAATAACCATTTCATATTTGAATATCATTAATAATGTAATTTATTCCTGTGTTCAAAGCTGAATTTTCAGCATCATTACTCCAGTCTTCAGTGTCACATGATCTTCAGAAATCATTCTAATATGCTGATTTGCTGCTCAAAAAAACATTTATGATTAATATCAATGTTGAAAATAGTTGTGCTGCTTCATATTTTGGTTGAAATCTTGATACATTTTATTTTTCAGGATTCTTTGATGAACGGAAGGTTCAAAAGAACAGAATTTAATTGAAAAAGAAATCTTTTGTAACATTATAAATGTCTTTACTGGCACTTTTGATCAATTGAATGCATTCTTGCGGAATAAAAGTATTAATATAAATTAGTATTAATTTTTTATTTTTTTTTTAAATCTTACTGACCCCATATTTTGAATGGTAGGGTTTTTACATATGATTAAAACTAGCCGGAAAAAAAAACTTACTCTTTTGGTTTTATTGCCAACGTCTTCCTCTATCATTATATCTGGAATTCCATCTTTGTCAAATTGCCCAAATGTTGGCACACTAGACAAACACACAGAGGAATAAATCAGTGTAACACGCACAAATACCTTCCACTGGTTTGGGATCAGTGTTTTTAATCTCACCTGAGCAGAGTGCTGGTGTTTGTGGTCCATGCGATCTTCAGTTTGTCTGTGTGCAGCAGTGACACGCTGGAGTCCGTCTGGACCAGCAGTGATGAAGAACTACTGCCAGGAACAACCATCACACGCTTCAGAGAATCAAACCTACGGCGAAGAGATCAGAAGAAACACATAATATAATGAGAATGGAAAATCAAAGAAAGAAAGTGGATAAGGTTTAACCCCCGATGTGTATTACTGATAGAGGGAGATCAATCCTGTGTGTGTGTCGGATTTTTCCTCCCAGCTTTTCTCATCCTTCAGCGCAGACTCCAGACCGGCCAGAGCTGCCAGACGTCGCAAACTGACCGCATAGAGCCCAGATTCTGTGGAGAGAGAGAAACGGTTGAGTTCAGGGACATAAAGAAGAAACTAAAGAGAAGAGATGCTAAAATCCTCTACACACTTTTGAGTAACAGCAGGTATGGAGCGCCACTGGCTGTTTTGAACTGCTGGTGACCAAACACCCCGTTCCCATCAACATGCACCTCTGAGCCGATCTGATCCCCTGACTTCCCTGAGAAAAACACCAGCTGAAAGAGGGAACAGATCACAATGAACACTATCACGAAGTCTTCAGCACAGGTGTTATTAAGTGTGTGTGTGTGTGTGTGTGAGAGTGTGTGTGTGTGTGAGAGTCAAACGCCAGCTAGGCCTGTCGCAATAATCAATATATTGACTTATCGCGCAATATATGTACATGACCTCAATAATTTTTGGTGACGCAATATATCGCCCATTATATTTACTTAAAAATTAATGTCACCATGTTTTTTGCATTCCACTTGCAAACTTGCAACTTTCCCATGAAGCTGTGTCTTTTGCAGCTTCTCATACATAATGTGGTGTAGTCATGAGGTGCTGGTTCAAATTTTAAAAAATGCTTCTACAAAAAAGTTTCATCTGCAGATATGGTCTTGTTTAGGGATCTGTGCCTCTGTGCTTACAGACATCTGACTGCTGAGTAGTGATTGTGTTTTTCAGCAATAGTGTGCACCCTTAATTTTCAGAGAAAAGAAGGTCAGGGAAAAAATCTGTAGATGGAAAAATCTCCATACAAGTTCTTTGTGCATTTTTCTTTTTTTCTACTTGTTACTTTGCACTTTTTGTTAGAAAATGTTTATTTACTATTTATTCAAGTTTTTTAAGGTATCTAATATTTTGATACTTAATTTCCATGATCTAAATATTCTTAAAAATGTAAAGTTTGTTGTCATTTGGAAGTGTGTTGGCCTTCTTGCATTATTATGCTGTTACATTATGATTATATATTCAGTGGCATAAAAATGGTCTTTAAAATGATAATCTTATCGCAATTATTTCTGGGGCATTATATCGCACAACAAAAAGTTGTTATCGTGACAGGCCTATTTATTGCATGTATTTGTTCAAAATACAGCAAAAACAGTAATATTGTGAAATTTTACAATAAAAAATGTTTTCTATATTAATATAATTTAAATTGTAATTTATTCCTGTGATGCAAAGCGGAATCATTATTCCAGTCTTCAGTGTCACATGATCCTTCAGAAATCATTCTAATATGCTGATTTGCTGCAATAATTTTTGGTGACGCAATATATCGCCCATTATATTTACTTAAAAATTAATGTCACCATGTTTTTTGCATTCCACTTGCAAACTTGCAACTTTCCCATGAAGCTGTGTCTTTTGCAGCTTCTCATACATAATGTGGTGTAGTCATGAGGTGCTGGTTCAAATTTTAAAAAATGCTTCTACAAAAAAGTTTCATCTGCAGATATGGTCTTGTTTAGGGATCTGTGCCTCTGTGCTTACAGACATCTGACTGCTGAGTAGTGATTGTGTTTTTCAGCAATAGTGTGCACCCTTAATTTTCAGAGAAAAGAAGGTCAGGGAAAAATCTGTAGATGGAAAAATCTCCATACAAGTTCTTTGTGCATTTTCTTTTTTTCTACTTGTTACTTTGCACTTTTTGTTAGAAAATGTTTATTTACTATTTATTCAAGTTTTTTAAGGTATCTAATATTTTGATACTTAATTTCCATGATCTAAATATTCTTAAAAATGTAAAGTTTGTTGTCATTTGGAAGTGTGTTGGCCTTCTTGCATTATTATGCTATTACATTATGATTATATATTCAGTGGCATAAAATGGTCTTTAAAATGCCAATAATATCGCTTATCGCAATTATTTCTGGGGCAATATATCGCACAACAAAAAGTTGTTATCGTGACAGGCCTATGTATGTGTGTGTGTGTGTGTCGTACCGGTATGGGTGTGAATGATGACGCTTCAGGATTATATGAAAGTATGGCAAAGTCCTCTGCTTTATCAGCATTCAGATCCGGAAAACTGATCAGTGGGAGATTTCCATTCAGCACAGTAGAACGCGACTGCTGCCAACTGATCACACCTGAAACATCAAAATATTTCCAAATGCACTTTTGATTTGGACAAAAAGCACTGTGATAAAACCATATTCATACACTACCATTCACAGAATTATTTTTTGTTTGTTTTTTGAAAGAAATTCATAGTTTTATTCAGCAAGGATGCATTAATTTGATCAAAAGTGACAGTAGAGACATTTATAATATTACAAAAGATTTCTCTAACACTTAAAAATAAGGTTTCATTTGCTAACATTAGTTAAATACATCAGTTAACATGAACTAACAATGAACAATACTTATACAGCATTTATTAATCTTAGCTAATGTTAATCTCAACATTTAATAATACATATGTGTCCCTGGACCACAAAACCAGTCATAAGGGTTAATTTTTCGAAATCGAGATTTGCACATCACCTGAAAGGTGAATAAATAAGCTTTCCATTGATGTATGGTTTGTTAGGATCGGACAATATTTGGCCGAGATACAACTATTTGAAAATCTGGAATCTGAGGGTGCAAAAAAATCAAAATATTGAGAAAATCGCCTTTAAAGTTGTCCAAATGAAGTTCTTAGCAATGCATATTACTAATCAAAAATTAGTAATATAATTATAGTAACTAAACGTTGTATCTGTTAACATATAGTTAGCACTGTGAACTAACATAAATGTTACCTTTTTTTTAAAGTAACATCAACAAAGGTTAATAAATGCTGTAAAAATCGTTTGGTTATTGTTAGTTGATGCATTAACTAAATGTTAACAAATGAGATCTTATTGTAATATGTTACAAAGGTTTCTGTTATAAATAAATGCTGTTCTTTTGAACTTTCTGTTCATCAAAGAATCAAGGTTTGTCACGGTTTCCACAAAAAATATGAAGCAGCACAACTGTTTTCAACATTGATAATTATTAGAAATGTTACCTCATATTAGAATGATTTCTGAAGATCATGTAACACTGCAGAATGGAGTAATGATGCTGAAAATTCAGCTTTGATCACAGGAATAAATTACATTTTCAAATACATTCACATAGAAGACAGCTATTTTAAGTTATAATATTTTTTTCTTTCAGTTTTTACTCTATTTTTAATCAAATAAATGCAGTCTTGATGAGCAGAAAAGACTTCTTTCAAAAACATTTAAAAAACTTAACAACTGTAATCATTTGAACAGTAGTGTATACCATAATATTTACATAGTACTGTTTCAAATACACTGTACTTTTTTCTCAGTGATGTTCACGTGTGCGTACTTAAATCCCATACCTGTGTTTTTATCGATAGCTGTAAGATTGTCCGCGTGAGCAACCAGACAGCCTGTTCCTTTTAGTCCAAGGCCCTTTACACCACACTCCAGCCAATCAAATTCAGCAGCTAGAGGTCGTTCCCAAAGCGTCTTCCCATCAGTGCCATCAACAGCCGTTAAAACCAGACATGGGATTGATAAATCTGAAAAAGAATCATTATTTCAGGCAGCATAACACACAATATAGCAGCAGCCCTTGAGTACCGTATGAAGATTTTTTTTTAGGGTATAATGACTTGAATCTTATCACTTCACAAATTTTGAAAACTAATGCATGAGCCATATGAACTTCTTTTAAGATGCTTCTGTGGTGTTTTAAACATTTTTGTGACTCACATGGTTTTTTATTGAATAGATTTGTCTTTATCTCTAAAACCAACAGCAAGCGGGTTTGTGCATGTGTGTTTTTAGGCCTACCTTCACTCAAACATGTGTTACGGCTGGCTTCAGCATCCTTGTAGATGAACAACACATCCAAGGCTTTGTCTTCATTGGCGTCCTCAACAGCCAGGAAATCATACGTGGCTATAGGAGAGAAACACATTCAGCATCCAATCAGGAATGCATGAACGTTACTACTGTAGCCACATAGCCACAGCCATATCACCCTGCAGTCCAAGACTGGTTGCCCACTGAAGCTAAGCAGGGTTGAGCCTGGTCAGTACCTGGATGGGAGACCTCCTGGGAAAACTAGGTTGCTGCTGGAAGAGGTGTTAGTGAGGTCAGCAGGGGGTGCTCACCCTGTGGTCTGCGTGGGTCCTAACGCCCCAGTATAGTGACGGGGACACTATACTGTAAAAAAGCACCGTCTTTCGGATGAGACGTTAAACCGAGGTCCTGACTCTCTGTGGTCATTAAAAATCCCATGGCACTTCTCGTAAAGAGTAGGGGTGTAACCCCGGTGTCCTGGCCAATTGCCCCACTGGCCCTTGTCAATCATGGCCTCCTAATAATCCCCAACCACTTGATTGGCTCTATGACTTTCTCTCCTCTCCACCTGTAGCTGGTGTGTGGTGAGCG